GGATAGTTGTTTCCTTCACTGCTCTAGCGCTGATTGAATATATATTTTAAATAAGGTCGGAGATAGACAACATCTTTGTTTAAGGCCCTTTGTTATTGGAAATGATTCAGATATAAAGTTTCCTTCTTTAACGACACTTCTTACATTTTTGTATATATTTGCGAAAGCATTCACATACTCTCTACTCAGACCTACTTTCGTCAATGTTTGAAACAGTTTTTTCAAAGGTACCGTATCGTATGCCTTCTCTAAATCTACAAACAATAGGTGGGTGCTTTCCGTTTTTCGATTACCTGTAGCAGAACGAATATACCGTCAGTGCACGATCTTCCTGCACGGAATCCATTTTGTTCTTCAATGTCTTCGTATTCTGATTCTATTCTTTCTTTTATTATTCGACCGTACAACCTCCCCACTGAGCTGATAACAGTTATTCCCCTCTAATTAGAGCATTTACGTTTATCCCCTTTCTTGAATATTGAGCTGATGTAATATCAATGTTGGTTGGAGAAGCGCTTCTTAACGTAACGCCTGGGGTTCGACAGGGATCGGACAGAGTATAATACCCTTCGCCTTTGCGGATCATCTCGCTGTGCTGGTAACGCGGGACGAACCGGATCTCCAATTTCGGGTAAGGCATTAGGACAGCTTCTGAAGGACTGGATGACAGATCATGAACTGAAACTCGCGGCAGAGAAGACTGGGCACGACACATCAAATAAATGCTTCAAATACCTGGGAAAGGTAGATACAGACAGGCTTCAAAAGGCAGATACAGACAAATGCCTATACTGCGAATACCTTGACACTGTTACTCTGTTATGAGAATAGCTATGAACTCTGTAACTGTGTGAGAGATAATCGCGAATATGGCGGAAATTAAAGAGGGATGGAGTAGGGTGCATAATTACATCCGTGTAGTCATTATGGAGAAAAAGAAGATGAGAAACAACAGCCGCACCGACGATAGAGATAAGATTTAGATAAGAGAAGGAAGTGCTCCGAAATGTCGTCAGTTCTTCTCAATTTTTATAATGATGTGAAAGAGCGGCAAATATGCGATACCGAGGGAGGCATACAGTTATTAAAATGTATTGGATCGATTGGGTTAAATTGAGTTAAAGTAAGTTTGGTTAGGCCCATTTACTCCGTCCATTTTAAACTCAGTTTTACCTTGACTTTTCTGTTTTTCTCAACTACGAAATTCATGTTGATTGCTGATATTCGCAATCATTATCATAACTGTTTGGATAAAAACGGATGTCGGTTTTTAAAAATTAGCCAATTTTACTATTTTTTTCAAATTGAAGCATCAATATATCAGGACCTAAACATTTGCACCAAAAGGATGCTAAATTCGGACTAAGTTTGAACCGCATAGTTTTTCAGAATAATCCATGAAAGTCAGCCTGGTAGACTTATTAGAAGATCTACTCCTTTGACAATATTTCTTGATACATATTTACAGACAACCATACTGTTCAAACACTCAAATCAAGACCATAAAGCAACTACAAAACATCTTTTTAGATACATCACAATTGCGTATAGTGGTTACGGTGATACAAATTTTTTTTGTTACACTTGTGAATTTTCAGCAGAAGATCAACTTTGCTAGTTTAGTAGCTCTAAAGAACACCAATCTCGTTAAAGTTTTCCTTGCTATCAAACATATTGTCATAATATTAAGTAAGTATAATGAAGATTTATGAAAATCAGAATTACAAGAAAAAGAAAGTGGCTTTATAAGAAATAAATGCTTCCACGCAAATATAAATCTTGTCCTAATAATATACAAAGTTACATCCGAAAAACCATCTATGTCAACCATTTATAGTGCATAAATCAGAGAAAAATTAAAAATGAAAATAAAATAAAAGAAATACGAATAATATATTTGAAATAAAAATGTGTAACAGTTGATAGTATTGGTTCCTTTTGACAATATTGTTTATATTTAGCATTAAAACACAAATTAAAAACAACTAAAAGTATATAGCTGTACCTACTTATTGCTAATAAAATTCTATATCGCATATTACATTAACAATTCGTGTTTTTATATTTATTATCAAAATTTGGCTTAAGACGCTTGTAATGGAGGAAATAAAATTGCTCATATACAAAATGTCGATATTTATACATCGTCCATAAAGTAACGCATAAATTCAGTATTAGTGTAATGATCTCATCACCATTTGTTTTTAAATGGAATAACCCCCATTTTTTTTCTCAATTTATAGATTTCTCCATAAAAAGAAATCTAATGGGTTCAAATCAGGTGATTTGGGGGCCATTCTACTGGTCCCCTTCTTCCTATCCACCGTTGTGGAAAAGTTTAAAAATTCGCGCACAGTTACTGCGAAATGTGACGCTGCACCATCTTGTTACTGCGGTTTAAATTAGTGGGTATTTGATTATCAGGAAAAAGCTGGATCAGATCAGGAATTAATGTATTTTGTAGGAAATTCAGATATAATGCTCAATTTTTGTTCAATTTTTTAAAGGCCAATCAATGATTATGATATCATAATCATTTTTGTTAGTGCTACGGATAGGAGAGCCGATTTTATCTATAGATAATGATAAGATTACATTTTATATTTAATTTATTCTTTACTACTTTTGCACACTATCAGGTCACTGCCGTGTTTATCTAAGTAAAACATCAACAAGCAGCTACTGTATTTGACCTTGGCAGCTCAACGCAGATTTGTTGTACAGTCCACGCATGCAGAATATTAACTCTATATCAAAGCAACGATCTTTATTTGTCAAAATCGTTAATATTTTAACCTACAGCATGTAGCTGTATGCATTTTTTTAACTAAAAAGAATAATTTCCACAGAATTATTTCAAGTATATTTAAAAAATACGCATAAATATCGTAACATTTTTTCATATTCTTATATATCAAATTATTTTTAATTCCTTTTACCCCCGTGCGATACGCCGATGATTAGGAATCCCCGTGTTTACGATAGTAAAATATTATTGTAGACACCAAGCTGAAATGGAATTCCCTAATTAAGAAAGGTTTTTAATCCTTCCGTCTTAATACTCTGTATGAAAAGAACAAATGCTTTCCGGTATGCAGTTTCTTTTTCATAAATTGGTAATTTTCGCCGAAGGCCCGTATCTTTTGACAATAATATAATCCTAAGGATTTTAATATTCTCAGGTCCAATTGTTAATACCGATTATTTTACCTCAAACTTTCCAATAGTCGTTAAGGCCTTACCTTCTGAGAAATACATACGACTGTCCGATGATTTTAAGTGGGGGATATACCTTCTTCTTCTTTTTTCTTGGATAGTTGGTGAAATTTTTAGGGAACCAACTTACTTCTCGGTGGGCTCTTGTTGAGTGAAGTGATATCTCGTGATGCGCTTTGCTCACGATATTTCTTATCTTATCGTCGCTGTGAATTATTTTCTAAGTGTGTGTACACTTATATTTGAGTTTTCTTTCCTTAGACTATATTAAATTATATATAGTTCTACACTACCTTTAATGGTTATTAAATTCAGTGTTTAGTACCAGAAAAGTATTAAATTCAGTGAATTAAGCTGCCTTCGTCAAGATCTACTGTAAGTAATCTTTATCTACAATTATCTGGGCGAGTAATATGGTATGGTACCATATCACCTGCCATTATCTGGACGTATCATCTATATCTTCACCTGTAGATTGCCGATTTTTGAATGTAATTGAACCATTCAAGAAATTTCTATAAATATTACCTATGAACATACAAGTCTCAGTTTTTTATTAAATAATAGTGCGAGATAGTTAATTGACTTAACCAAGTGCGGTTTGGTTTATGTTTTCATTCCTGTAACCTTTTTGTTTTTTTTTGTAAATTTAGAGTTAAGTAATTTTTGCTATCTTTGTATTTCCTATAATTTTTGTTCATTATCTTTCCTATGATATCTCGAGATACGCCAAACTATATTTGTATATGATTGCCTTATATATCTTGGTAAAGGTATTTTTTTATTACATTATTAGCTTAATTTTATACATATATAACACCATTTCATAGTTGTGTATTTTTGATTACCTGGGTTGCATTTAGCAGCATCATAATTTTGTGTTTAATATATTGTTATTGTTTTATGCATGTATTTTATTTGTCGGCTCCTAACAAGTTCCCTGATAAAATAATAGCTCTGAACAATTACTATCTTTAAATATTACTATGCTTTTGAACTGTAGAAAGATCAGGCTGATTAAGTTTCGTAGGTAAGTAAGTGTAATACTTAATATATTTATTATTTGTTTATATATTGCGTTGACCAGATTTATTTGATAATTTACTGTTGGTATCTTTCCTTGGTTTGATCTCTGACTGGATATCTTTCCTTATCTTTTTTCTTTTCTAAGGTTTCTTAATCTTTCTCCTTAACCCAAAAAATTGAGTGGGGCCCTGTTTCTATCTTCTCTTATCTTTGGTAATTTTACCCATCTATCTTTTTGTTTATTTCTGTATCTTTTCTAATATCTCTTATTCTATCTTTACCTATTTCTTCCGTTGGATCCATTCCCGGTTCCAAAAGCTAGTTTCGAACCCACGACTCGCTCTCCACCAACCATCTGGCTGCCGTCCGCAGTGTCTCCATTGGTTATCTTTCTAGCACCACCCAAAAAGATTTCCGAGGTTACAATATTATTGTAAAATATTGTAAAATTTGCAACGGTTTTGCGGCTAAGTTCGAAATAACTCTTATAACATGAGTGCCTTCATTATTTGAATATTTTAATGTTAAAATATGGTACTAACTATATACTTTTTATTGTTTAATTGTTTTTAGTAGATTTTATAAGTAATTCTTCTGATCCTGATAAGGATCTATCAATTGATTTAAAAATCTCATATTTTCTATTATCGTTAATTTTTATAGAACATCAAATATTAAATTATCAAACGCCGAGGAAACTTTTAATTCGTATTTCTTATGAATAAAATAAATAATAATAGTGTAAACTTAGAATATACCTTTCGATTCTTTTTCTTTGTGGTGTTTTTTGTGGTGATTTTTGTGAGTTGTAGAGCCATGTTTAGCTAAAACTGTTCAAAAAGCAAAAAATAAAACATTAGAGCGCTATTTCATTCAAAAGCAAAAAGCATCAAAGCTGCCAACGATAATAAATCGGTACTTACCACCTCGAAAGGCATGATGTCTGAATACTCCGACCAACCGTGCTCGTTCTGTGAGCGCGCTCTCGTTTCGTATGCACCCGCTTCAAGGTCTCGTAATGTGTACTTGATGACGTACATGTCGTTTTGGCCATTGGTTACTTCAGGAACGGCAATTTTCCAGTCGCTGTCCTAGAAAATGGTTACTATTTTAGTAATTATTACAGGGGTACAAATTATTTAATTTGTGAACGATTCTTAGCCCCATGGAATTTACTCATCTCTTTTGTTGTTGCTTAAGTGTAACTGTGAATAATATAGGGGGCGGTAAAATGATGTGTATGTCAGAAACGTTTTTTTTTTGTCTTGCTGTGATTTATTTTATTTTCCAGAATTGCTGTTTTATTCGCAGTACACAACTGAAAAGGGGATAGGCAAAATATCAGAGCATAACAGATGGAAGAGCGCATTCATGTACAAATATATGAAATCCCTTTAGAGCCGGCATCAGGTAAAACGTAGTAGTACCTTGTGTCTTTTCTAATTTTGCGTTTGGCACAAACGACAAATCTTTTTGACAAAAGTACGCCTGTTTTCTCGTAATGGATATAGCGTAGGAAAATGTCTTTCTACCAACCGTAATAGATGATCACCAGCATTCGGTCTGTTACTTCGTGACAGTCGAAGAGTGCTTTGTTTATTTTTGTAAAATTTGTTTCACCAAATCCCTCTGGAAATCCATTAGAGGAATGTTTTTCCCAGTTTTGACTTTGTAAATAGCATGTGAATTTAGTACAACCAGTATATGAAAAAACGACCTTTTTGTACCATCTCACGTTTTTCCTTACGGATTCAGTAGAACTTAGGACCACGTCTATTCTGTCGACTCCACCCATAGTCATATTGTACGCGATAATATATTTAGGTTTTTTAACTTCTTGGTTTCTGCTATTTTTGGATTTAGATATATTAGCTTCATGCATGGTTGTCAACATTACAACGTCTCTTTTATCTTTCCATTTGAGTGCCAAAGATTTGTCAGTAGAAAAGTATTGTATAGAACCTTTTTCCAGATTATTTTTAAATTTTGGCATATGTTTTTGATTCTGCTTTTACAGTTACGCAACAAAGAAAGGCTGTATAGAAAAGATTTCTGTGTTACGCTCGTGTTGTTTTTACCAAAGAAAACAATCGAAATAATATTTCGAGTTTTTTTTGACGAGATTTTTAAATGCGTATATTACAATTTGGAGCAAAACTAAAAGAATGCCACACGTTGGGGGCGCCAAAATTGTAACGAACTAGGTACAATTGGCGCAAATCTAAGACAAGCCACACACGTTGGGCGCTAAAATTGCAACGATAGATAAAATTAGCGCCAACCTAATTCATGCCCCACGTTGAGCGCCAAAATTATAACGACAATATTTTGCTTACCTCAGGGTAAGAACATGAGGGGTAGAAGATTGGAGGAAGAACTAAGGGGGTGGAGATAGGGCAAGCAAAATATCTTCAACCTTATCCACGACCCAGCTCTCCAACAACCAACTGAGTGTCGTTCGCACAAGTAGCGATTATTTTGCTTGCCCTATCTCACCCCCTTAGTTTCTTCCTCCAATCTTCTACCCCTCATGTTCTTACCCTGAGGTAAGCAAAATATTGTCGTTACAAGGCAAGGAATTCCAGAATTGGCATTATTACCGAATATATTGGTTTGTTCAACGACTTTTTCCATTATCTCTTGTGTAAAAAAGGCTTAAAACGCTTGTAGGACAGATGGAGCGTCCGACAATGCTTCAATACAGCATCCAAAGGCATCGTTTGAAAAATTATGTATTGTAGGAGCAATATTTTTTTCTTGCCACTCGTAAGGATCCGATTCTTTTTGTTTTGTTTTCGTCTTTTGGGTTGTGGAACATCAGGAACAACGATTTGGTGTTACTTTATGTACTGCCATGGTATTTCTCACTATCACTGTATGTAGGTTCGCAAATATTTTCTCACCCGTAGCTCTTCTCTGATTCAGCATCAAAGTTTTCGTCTGAATCACTGTAAAAAGCAAGTTCTAATAATTCTTCCTCAGATAAACCCTTTTTACGAACATATTGTGAAAAAACGTGCAAATACAATGCGTATGCCTACGAAGTTATGACTTCACTGACGCAGACGCAAAATCAACAAGTATTGACCCGTATCGGAGCTAGTAAGAATCGATGCTTGCAATCCCCACTATTGATATTTTGCTGGTGCTCTGTTACGTGAATGATCACAGTCAAGTTATCCATGCGCTGATTAATACGTTTTCCATCTCGAAGTGCATCGTCTGTCCTGCGGACTTATACGTCTACCGGGTATCGGACTCGTTATGATTTCGCGGATATATCAGTTTCCCGTTACGAAAGGGTTAAGCGTAACTGTGAATAATATAGGGGGCGGTAAAATGATGTGTATGTCAGAAACGTTTTTTTTTGTCTTGCTGTGATTTATTTTATTTTCCAGAATTGCTGTTTATTCGCAGCACACAACTGAAAAGGGTATAGGCAAAATATCAGAGCATAACAGATGGAAGAGCGCATTCATGTACAAATATATGAAATCCCTTTAGAGCCGGCATCAGGTGAAACGTAGTAGTACCTTGTGTCTTTTCTAATTTTGCGTTTGGCACAAACGACACATCTTTTTGACAAAGTACGCCTGTTTTCTCGTACGGATACTGCGTAGAAATGTCTTTCTACCAACCGTAATGGATGATCACCAGCATTCGTCGTTATTCTGACGTCGATATTTTTGTAAAATTGTTTCACCAAATCCCTCTGGAAATCCATTAGAGGAATGTTTTTCCCAGTTTTGACTTTGTAAATAGCATGTGAATTTAGTATAACCAGTATATGAAAAAAGACCTTTTTGTACCATTTCACGTTTTTCCTTACGGATTCAGTAGAACTTAGGACCACGTCTATTCTGTCGACTCCACCCATAGTCATATTGTACGCGATAATATATTTAGGTTTTTTAACTTCTTGGTTTCTGCTATTTTTGGATTTAGATATATTAGCTTCATGCATGGTTGTCAACATTACAACGTCTCTTTTATCTTTCCATTTGAGTGCCAAGATTGTCAAGAAAAGTATTGTATAGAACCTTTTTCCAGATTATTTTTAAATTTTGGCATATGTTTTCGATTCTGCTTTACAGTTCCGCAACAATTAGTCTTTTTTTCGAATAAAGCTTCAGCTAGTAATGGACTACTGTACCAGTTGTCCATGTAAATTTTGTGGCCATTATTCCAATATGACTTGGTCAGTGTCATAACGATGTTTCCAGATATATCAAGGTTCTCAGAATACTGAGTTATATCTGTATCCGCTCTGGTATATATTATGAAATATTATATATAACCCGTTTCACAATCAACGGCAACAAAATACTTAATTCCAAAACGATGCCTTTTTTTCGGAAGATATTGGCGAAACGAGATACGTCCTTTGAATAACATAAGGCTTTCATCTATGGAAATATTTTTTTGTTGGTGTTTCTAGTAAAGCATCTTTGGTCCAATAATCACGCAGTCTCTGCTTTTTTAGTTGTGGTATGGGTAAAGATACGGCAATAAAAACATACATCTTATCAATATCTGTGTTTTGCCAGTTTTTCAGTGAGAAAGGCTGTAGCGTTTTTTATTTAAAGTGTATAGAAAAGATTTCTGTGTTACGCTCCTGTTGTTTTTACCAAAGAAAACAATCGAAATAATATTTCAAGTTTTTTTGACGAGATTTTTAAAAGCGTATATTACAATTTGGAGCAAAACTAAAAGAATGCCACACGTTGGGGCGCCAAAATTGTAACGACTAGGTACAATTGGCGCAAATCTAAGACAAGCCACACACGTTGGGCGCTAAAATTGTAACGATAGATAAAATTAGCGCCAACCTAATTCATGCCCCACGTTGGGCGCCAAAATTGTAACGACAATATTTTGCTTACCTCAGGGTAAGAACATGAGGGGTAGAAGATTGGAGGAAGAAACTAAGGGGGTGGAGATAGGGCAAGCAAAATATCTTTAACTTATCCACGACCCAGCTCTCCAACAACCAACTGAGTGTCGTTCGCACAACTAGCGATTATTTTGCTTGCCCTATCTCCACCCCCTTAGTTTCTTCCTCCAATCTTCTACCCCTCATGTTCTTACCCTGAGGTAAGCAAAATATTGTCGTTACAAGGCAAGGCATTCCAGAATTGGCATTATTACCGAATATATTGGTTTGTTCAACGACTTTTTCCATTATCTCTTGTGTAAAAAAGGCGTCAAACGCTTGTAGGACAGATGGAGCGTCCGACAATGCTTCAATACAGCATCCAAAGGCATCGTTTGAAAAATTATGTATTGTAGGAGCAATATTTTTTTCTTGCCACTCGTAAGGATCCGATTCTTTTTGTTTTGTTTTTCGTCTTTTGGGTTGTGGAATATCAGGAACAACGAGTTCGGTGTCACTTTATGTACTGCCATGGTTTTTCTCACTATCACTGCATGTCGGTTCGCAAATATTTTCCCACCCGTAGCTCTTCTCTGATTCAGCATCAAAGTTTTCGTCTGAATCACTGTAAAAAGCAAGTTCTAATAATTCTTCCTCAGATAAAGCCTTTTTACGAAACATATTGTGAAAAAACGTGCAAATACAATGCGTATGCCTACGAAGTTATGACTTCACTGACGCAGACGCAAAATCAACAAGTATTGACCCGTATCGGAGCTAGTAAGAATCGATGCTTGCAATCCCCACTATTGATATTTTGCTGGTGCTCTGTTACGTGAATGATCACAGTCAAGTTATCCATGCGCTGATTAATACGTTTTCCATCTCGAAGTGCATCGTCTGTCCCTGCGGACTTATACGTCTACCGGGTATCGGACTCGTTATGATTTCGCGGATATATCAGTTTCCCGTTACGAAAGGGTTAAGCGTAACTGTGAATAATATAGGGGGCGGTAAAATGATGTGTATGTCAGAAACGTTTTTTTTTATCTTGCTGTGATTTATTTTATTTTCCAGAATTGCTGTTTATTAGCACCACAGAACTGGAAAGGGGATAGGCAAAATGTCACAGCACAGAACAGATGGAAGAGCGCATTCATGGACAAAAATATGAATATTTATGTTATGACGCCATAACTAAATAATTACGAAATATCT